CTGGGCTGGTGGCACCTGGGTCCCCAAGCTAATACAGGACCAGGTGTTGGGAGCAGGACAGGCAGCTGGCACTGTGCTCAGGGTCACAGCTGGACCATGCCTTTTTTCTACATTTTTTGGCAAGGAATGTGGTTCTCACAGCAAACCTGGCCCATTGGATCCATCTTGTCCCCTTTCCCTCCCACAAGCAGCACCCCTGCACCTCTGTGCAGCTCATCTGTGCTCACACAGCCTGTGCCAGGAGCTCTGCATCAGCTGTGCCACCCATAAGACCTGGGTGCACGCAGTGGTGTGGGCTAACGCAGTGCCCAGGCACCCGCGAGGCTGTGCCACACTGCCCAGGGCAGGCAGAGGGGCAGGCAGGGTGCCAGCAGGGCCCTGCCCCGGGGACAGAGGTGTCAGCAGTGCAGGCAGGAGCAGATGAGCCCCAGCCCGTCTGGCTTTGCTCTGGTACTTCACCGCTTTTTTGGTGTCAGACACAGCTCTCTCCACGTAGTCCACCGAGTGCTCCACGTTGTACTCGATGCGGTCAATCATCTCTCCCTGCAGAACGAGGACACAGCCCACGCGCCCGCGCGCGTACGGGTGTGAGCTCCTTCCTGCTCCGCTGCTCCCCGGCACCGGGTGGTGGATGCTGCCCTGCCCGGCAGCCCTGCGTGGAAAGAGGGACTGGTCAGCAGCCTGTGGGCACTGGGTGCTCCAGAGTGCCCTGTGGTGTGCTGGAGTGGGGGGTCTGGACTGTGGGCTCTGTCCTCAAGGGCTAAGACCTCTGTGCACATCCCAGCAGGGAGGAAGGCAAGCAAGAGTGAAGGTCAAGGGGGCTCCCAGCCCAGTCTTGGCCTGGTGGGCTTCCGTGTCCAATATATCAGATGACATCAAAGCCACAGCAGGACCTACCCCAACACCATGCTGCTGAAAACAGAGGGACGGCAGGGAGCAAGGACTGCACCAGCAGCACCACGTGGGATGCTCAGGAAACCACAGGCATGCAGGGACACCACTCCGACCCACACAAGCGCCGTGCCAAGGGCAGGAGGGCCTGGAGTCAGGCTGGCTGGGACTGCAGTGCCCCACAGAGACCCCTGCCCTGCTCTGAGCCCCGCTGTAGGGGCAGGCTGGGGTGAGCTCCCCCCAGCCTGTCCACCTCCTTTGACCCCATCCTGACTGCACAGGGAAGCAGCCAGGTCCTGCAGCAGCTGGACAGGATTGGCAGGTCGGGTGGCTCAAAGCCCAGTGCCATCCTGCATGGCACAGAGGGAATTGGGGCTGCAGAGCTGGGGGCTCATACCCAGCAGCCCATTTCTCAACCTAATGCTGGAAAACATGAGGAGGACGAGCCTTGAGGCCCAGGGGTGGTCTGGTCTTAGTCCCCAAGCACCACCAAACCCCAACAGCTGTTCTCTGCCTTGCCTAAAGCTGCTGCTTCTCCTCCCCACTGTGCCATGCCTGGGGAAGAGCACAGCTGCCAGCCCTGTTGCCAGCCAGCAGCAGAGTGCTGGCAGGTGCCAGCAGCTTGGATCCTCTCACCCCACCAGGCGAGGCAGGGTGCTGGCATTGTCTAGTCCTTAGAGCTGGGCAAGGAACCATGAATCCCACACATCTGTCCCCCATGGCAGGCAGGACACGGCACCAACACTACCATGCCCCAGCCACGCTTGCCAGCCTGCCCCCAGCTGTCCCAGTGCCATGTGACATGCAGGCACAGCCATGCAGAGCAGAGCATGCAGCACCGCGGGCCTTGGCACAACAGCCTTTACCTGCCACCGACGTCTCCTCGGGCCGAGGCAGCATGGCAGGCAAGAAGGGGGGTGAGCAGAGACACTGGAGCACGCGCCCAGCGGAAGGGCCAGGAGCCATGGGCTGGGGGCACAGCCTGGCAGCACCCCAAGCTCACCCATCTGGGCCCAGCGCTCCAGGGAGATGAAGAAATCTCCCCACGTGTGGCAGCCACCCGCTGCCCTCCTCCAGATTCCATCACCTCTCGCCCCAGGCACACAGAACCCCCAGCTCTGGGGCACAGGGCAGGTGGCTCCAGCCCTGGGGAGTCCAGCTCAGCCCCACTGGGAGCTGTGTTGGTCCTAGATGTGGTTTTTTCTTTCAGTACCCACCCAGGCAGGAGACCACTGTCCTCCAACCTCCCCACCCACCTCATTGCCTCCCAAGGTGAGTGAACCCCAGGCCACAGTGTCTCCCTACCTGGCTTTCCACCAGCATGGCCATGTCCATGAACATGTCATGCAGCTCTCGGATGCTGTTCTCCAGTTTGATGATCTCACTGTGTCGCGTCTCGATCTCATTCAGTGCCTGCTTGGTGATGTTTGAATCCATGATGATCTGCAAAGGAGCCAAGGCCACTGAGCACAGTGCTTAGTCCCTCAGATGCAGGGACTGGGGGCACCAAGAGAGGGATGAGCAGGGGCTCCAGAGCCCCTCCAACCACTTCAGCCAGGAGCAACAAACTCCCACCACACCTCCTGCCAGAGCACAGGCTCTGCTAAGGCCAGATCTGAGCCCCCAGGTCCCCCCTGCTGCATGGGCTGTGCTCATCACTCCCATACTGGGGCCACTGGTAGCATGTCCACATGCTGGGACAAGGGGGTTGGCTTGGCTTCAGCCTGTGCCAGTGCTTACCCCGGAGGAGAAGATAGCCGGGTTGCCGCTCTCCAGCATGTCCTCCAGCTCCTCGCTGGTGGTGGTCCTGCCAGCTGCAATGACACAACACGGGTCAGCCAGGAGCCCTCTGTCTCTGCCATGGGTCCTGCAGCCCCACTGCAGGGCTCTGCTGGCTCCATGGCATGTCCCACGAGTGGAATGGAGCACAGTTTCCACCCCCAGGTGCGCACTGGGCAGTTTGAGGGGCTGCCTTCCCACAGCCTGGCTCTGACACCCCTCTTTTTAAGGGGGCCAAGCTGCCAGCTTCGCTCAGCTCACCCAGGAAAGTCTGTCTGCCTTTCCTGGTCATGCTGCCTGTTCCAGCTGGGCAGCCACCAGCGTCCAGTTTATGACTGTGAAGGAGGAAGGATGGGGAGCAGCAAGCCACGAGCAAGGATGCTCTTGGCAAACCCCATCCCAGGCCAGTTCAAAGCAACAAGGACACTAGACTTAGCTGGGCTGCCTGAGTTTTAGCCCTGCAGCTGTATGACAAAAGGCTCTGTCCTTCCCCCTGCAGCACAGCCCTCTGTGTCCATGTGATAACCCCTTGCTGGTCCTTTCTTCCTGTTGGCTCCTTGCTCTGGGGTTGAGATAGACAGTTTACTAGAGAAAGCAAAAGCCACACACAGAAGCAGAGCAAAACAAGGCATTAATTCATTGCTTCCCATGGGCAGGAGGTGTTCAGCCAGCCGAGCAGGGCCCATCATGTGTAACAGTTCCTTGGGAAGACAAACGCCATCACTCCAGATGTCCCCCGTTTCTCCTTCTTCCTCCCACCTTATATACTGAGCATGATGTCCTATGGTATGGAATATCCCTTTGGTCAGTTTGGGTCACCTGTCCCAGCTGTGTCTCCTCCCAAGCTCCTGTGCATCCCCAACTTCCTTGTCAGTGTGGCAGTATGGGAAACAGAAAAGACCTTGGCTCTGTGTAAGCAACCGGTCAGCAACAACAAACACATCTCTGCATTATCAACCCTGTGCCCTGCACAAATCCTGTAACATGGCCCCATCCTAGCCACTGGGAAGAAAGTTAACTCCACTTCAGCCCAGACCAGCACAGGTGGGAAGCAGGACACAGGTTCTCATTCCTGCCCTCAACACGTCCTTGCTGCCTCATTCCCCTAACAGAGAGCACAGGGCCAGTAAAAGCTGTGGCAGGCAAAGAATGAGAGCAAAGACATTGCATGGCTCAGCACCCATCCATGCAGTGCTGGTCTGGCTGAGGGCCATGGCTGGTCAGGAAGAACTTGCTTTAAATGCTGAGCCAAAGTACAGAGTCCGGAGGCTGCAGCTCGCCCACGCCATCCAGCCCTGAGCCTGCCAAACCATATAACCAACCTGCAGGACCCCAGAGACCTTCCCAGGGCCTCCTGCCTCCTGGCCAGGCTTCCTGGTTTGGAAAAGCTGTCATTAGCTCCTCCACAGCAATAAAAGCAGCTCAGAGTGTGCTGAGCACCTGCCTGTCTGCTGCCCACATCACACCACAGAGCCACAGCACAGCCGTGGAAGGACAGAGTCACTGCAATGGAAGGAACACTCCTGCTCTGGGGGAACTGCCTGAGGGAACACTCCTGCTCCGAAACTTGGCAAAACACTGGAAAATCCTAAGAATTGGACCTGTGCCTCCTCACAGAGCTCCAGAGTACATCTGCCTCTTACTTGGCAACTCCAGAAATTAAAGTTTCCTGGGGAGAAGCAGCTCTGCCAACGAGACAAACAGCCCAGAGCATCGTAGGAGCTGCAGCACAGAGGGAGAAGCAACCTCAGCCCTGAGCTGGCAGGGACAGAACAAGAGACAGTGCCCAGGTCATGCTGCAGCAGGGCCATTGGAAGCTCTGGAACAGGCAGACACAAAGCCACTGAGCAGACTTCCCACCTCAAGGCATAGTCCTTGGTCCTGAAAGGCCCAGCTGGAGGGGAGTGACCATCTCCATGGACCAGCTCCCACAGGACGGGGCAGGAGCAGCCCCATCAGGGTGTGGAGGAAGCTCCTAGGGAAGCCTCTGATGCCACAGCTCACCACCACTGCCCAGCTGAAGCTGGATGCCAGTTTGCCCAACTCTGCATGGAGATGTTCTATAAATAAGGAAGACTTGAGGCACCTCAGGGCTGCAGAGGAGTCCAACACGTTGTGCCTGAATTAAGGGCTCAGCTGGGCTCCTCGGGCTGGCAGCATCCCCCTCCTGGCAGCAGCGCTGCACGAGCACCCGCAGAGCCACAGCTGGGGCTCAGGCTGGACACACTGAGGACAAGGCACCTTCCCAAGGCTGGGATCCTCTGCCTGGAGCTGGCTTTTTAGCTCTCTTAGACACAAATCCACATAACTCATAGAGGGATGGATAGTGTTGCCCTGTCTGCCCGTGTGGGGGGTAACGGGTCTCAGTGACTGACCCAGCTGGCTGTCCCCCAGCTCACACAGGTCTGGCACTGCCCGTGGTGGTGTTGGGATGTGAAGGCTTCAGCTAGAAAAGCCCAGCATGACACAAAGTGCCACCCACCTCCCTGTCCCTTGGGGCCCATCTGCTCAGACACGGCAGGGGTAGCAGGGCCCACCACCCATTATTGTGATGGCATCTGCACTCAAGGTAAGTCCTGTGGTCATTCCTGAGATGAAAGTGTCACAGGAACCCTAAACAACCCCTGGAATCTCCTGGAGCAGCCTGGATGAGCTGCCAGGGCCAGAGCAGCCCCTGGACTCAGGGTGGGCTGCACCCACAGCTTGTTGTTCTGCACACCAGTTCACCTGGTGTGGCATGGCAGGGCCCAAGGAATTCTCACAGTGCCCTCAGAGACAGCAAATGCTCTATTTTTGGCTCCTCGGTCTTGCACATAACAAAACTGTTCCTAAAAACAAGCAGCATCTGTGCAGCACCTCCAAGGCTTCAGCTGCACACCCACCACAGAAAGCTCCTCCAAGCTCCAAATCCAATTTCTCTGGGACCAAAACCTAATTAGATTTAAGATATAATTTCTCCTAACAGAAAAAAATGGAGAGAAAAAAAAAATGAGGGAGCGACACCTCCCATTACAGACAGCATGGAAGGTTGTGCTGGGGGACTCAGCTCCTGGTAGCAGATGGGGGCATGGCTGGGGTGGGCACAGTCGCCAGTACACATCTGTCCTGCTGTCAGCAACCCCAGGACACAGAGCATCCTCATCTGTGATGTCAGAGTGTCTGGAAGCAGAGTGAGTAAGGGTGGGTGAGGGCATTGATTAAGGTTGGGGCAGAAGTAGTGGGAGGGGAGAGGAGTGGAGAGAAGAAGGGAAGAGAGAAGAGGGAGAGGGAGAGGAGGAGAGGGAGAGGAGAAGAGGGAGAGGGAAAGGG